CCCATGCCTCACAGATGGCATCTAAGTTCTTGACACCTCCAGTCCCACACTGGGCCCCATAACCCTCTAGTCTGGACCCCAACTGGATCTCTCCTATTAGGCATCCTACTCCACCCTCATTCTGGGCTGCCAAGCTCCCTGCATTCTTCCTCCTCTTGTAGTATGAACTGAACTAATGTAGCACACAGTATGACCTAGTCAACTGCAAGAACACAGTGTGACCTAGATTCTACTCACGACTAGGCAGTAGGCATTAAGGGATACAGATTGTATAGACATGACAGAGTGGGGAAAAAAGGTGGGGGAGTAGCTCTCTATGTTAAGGAGCAGTACACATGTTCCATCATCGAGGTAGAGGTAGAGAAGGGGAATACCGAGGCATTGTGGGTCAGGATTCAGAGGGGGCCGGGGGAAAAGGATTTGGTAGTGGGGGTCTACTACAGACCTCCTCACCAGAATGATGAGCTAGATGAGGTATTCTCCAGGCAGCTCTCAGATGCCATACAGGCAAGGGAGGCAGTGGTCATGGAGGATCTAAATTACCTGGACATCTGCTAGGAGGAACAGACAGCCAAAACAAGCCACTCATGGAGGTTCTTACACTGTGTCCAGGACCTCCACCTAACCCAGGAGGTGTCCAGTCCCACCAGGGGTAGTACCTTGCTAGACCTGGTCTTAGCAACAGGGGATGATCTCGTGGGGAACCTGCGAGTACACAGTAACCTGGGAGATAGTGACCATTACTTGGTAGAGTTCACTATCCAGCAAAGGGTGAGGAAAATATCCAGTGAGGCTAAAGTGTTAGACTTCAGAAGGGCCAACTTTATTAAACTTAGAAGCCTAGTTAGTGAGGTGGCAGAACTCAAGAGCATCGAGCAAATGGGGGTCCAGGAGGGTTGGAGGTTTCTCAAGGGAGTGATCCTTGGGGCACAAAAGGAGTCTATCCCCTTACACAGGAAAGGGGCTAGGGGGATAAAAAAAAGCCCCCTTGGCTGAACAAGGAACTCCAGGAAAGACTGGGGGCAAAGAAAGATTTATAGGCAGTGGAAGCAGGGGGCAGCCACCAAGGAAGCATACACCTCCCTGGCATGCTATTGCAGGGAATCAGTTAGGCAGGCCAAGGCAGGACTGGAGCTTAGGCTGGCTACAACAATCAAGAAAAATAAAAATTCCTTCTACAGATGCATAGCAAACAAAAGGAAAGTGCAGAGTAACATAGGGCCCCTTCAGGACAAATCAGGACAGCTGGTGGTTGACGGAGGGAAAAAGGCGGAGCTCTTCAATGACTTCTTTGCTTCAGTATTCCTAAGTACTGGCCAAGACAATTCCCTCACCTTGAGCATAGACAGATGCCCAAAAGGCACCAGACCACCAAAGGTTAGTGCTAACTTAGTTAAGGAGCACTTGGAATGGCTGGATGGATACAAGTCAGCCGGCCCAGATGACCTCCATCCACAGGTGCTGAAGGAATTAGCCAGTGTCATAGCTGAGCCACTGGTATGGCTGTTTGAGCACTCATGGTGCTTCGGCCAGATCGTTGAGGACTAGAAAAGGGCCAACGTGGTGCCCATGTTTAAGAAGGGGAGAAGGGATGAGCTGGGTAACTTTAGCCCAGTCAGTCTTACCTCTATCCCTGGGAAAATACTGGAAAAAATAATCAAAGAGCTCATTTGTGAAGGCCCGGCAGGGGAAATGATGCTGAAACAAAACCAGCATGGGTTTGTCACAGGTAGATCCTGCCTGACAAACCTTATAGCCTTTTATGACCAGGTCACACACTGCCTTGACATAGGAGCTGAGGCTGATGTCATCTACCTGGATTTTTGCATCCTATTCTCATAGGAAAGTTAGCAGGCTGTGGAGTAGACACCTACACA